GCTCGTCCTTGTTCCCTCCCACTCTGGTAGATGATAGGTGGAGCTTTTGCCTACCACCCGCCAATACATATCCCGGTTCTGGGTATACGTTTGCCACCGCAAGCTCGAAACTTAGGTAAAAAGAGGAAAGGAAGGGGTTGTGCTTGGTGCACGGGTTTACCGAATTGCGCAAGCTCAAGCTCGTCCTTGTTCCCTCCCACTCTGGTAGATGATAGGTGGAGCTTTTGCCTACCACCCGCCAATACATATCCCGGTTCTGGGTATACGTTTGCCGCGTTACCCCGTCGCATCATCAGTCCTTTAACGTCCGAGAAACGCGCGATCATCTACGCAACATCGGTCTCCACAGTGTGTGCCACTAATATATATATATATATATAGAATATTTATATATATATACATATATTTATATACTTATTATATATGTATGTATGTATATATATATACGTAGACATAATCAGTGGGACAACTTAAAATATACAAAGCAAATATAAGCAAAACAACACGCACCCACCCCTTCTTCTTTAACTCGCAATAACAAAAATCAAAAGAAGAAGAAAAAGAAGAAAAAGAAGAAAAAGAAGAAGAAGAAGAAGAAGGACAAGGACAAGAAGAAAAAACAAGATTTAATTTGTTGAGTTTGGTTTTTTTAAAGTTCCATATTAGTTCGCGTAAAAAATACGAGGGTACAATCGTGATTTTTAATATTATTATTATTTTTATTATTATTATTATTATTATTATTAGTAGTATTATTATGATTTATTTTATATAGGTTGTTGCTTTTGGAGAGGAAGTGAACAAAGTGGAGGGGGTGGGGGCCTCTTCGTAATAATAAGAAAAGAAAATTATTAAGGATATGAATAATACGGAAGATTCGTTTGTGAGTTGTCAATTAATAGAGGAGGGGGGAGGGGAATATTATATGTTGGAATATATTGAAATCATGTTGATTAGATTGAATTAGGATTATAAATGATGATATTATACGTAACAACAATGGCGGCATTAATTTCCCATACAAATCTGGGAATCTTGTGATTCTCACCTGAGAAAATCTCGTTATTTGTTCTTGGTGCATCTTTGGGGTGGGGAGGAAACGAAGAAGAAGAGGAGGAGGAGGAAGAAGTGGAGGAAGAAGAGAAAGGGGGAGGTGGTGGTGGAGGAGGAGGAGGAGGAGGAAGAGGAAATGGAGGAGAACATGGCTCCTAAGCGGGAGTTTCGTGCAATCTTTTGACGAGAAATACATTTTCTTTCATAGACTAAATCAATTTCAAAATGACATCTCACTTATAACTCAAGCATATATGTATTTATGTGCATTGACAAATTTGATTGCCCGCCCTCTGAAGAGAACAAAAAAATAACATTCAATAATTGGTGTTTTAAAAAAAAAAAGAAAAAAAACAACAACTCTTCTAAGCGTCGAATAATACCAAGGGGTTGTTGTTGTTGTTGTTGTTGTTGTGTTGTTTATACAATTTTTCGTAACACGGGGTACGTATTACGTTCGTTTTGTACTTTTTCTTTTTTTTTTCTATATTTAATTTCATTGTGGTATACCTAAAAAAATAAAAAATAAAAAAACGGAAAAGAAAAATTAGGAAACAAATTTAGTTTGAATTTTTGCCTGGGGGGTGTGGGTGTTGGGGAAAAAATTGAAAATAATTTTTTTTGTTTTGTTTTTTAAGAAAAAGGAAAAAGGTTTTTTCTTTCTTCTAATTTTTATTTTGTTTGATTTTATTTGATATGAAAATAATGAGTACAGACTTTGTGGTTGAACAAATATTTCGGTGTTTTTTTTTTTCAAAAATTGTGGATTTCATTGGATTTGTTTTAATTCCGTGGATGACGAAACGGATTTTGTGGATTTTGTACTTTTGAAATATTAAAGTAGGTTATTATCATTGCTCTTATGTATTTTTATCTGTATATATATATATATAGTGTACTTAAATATATACTTATATATATAGATATATAAATATATATATATATATATAAGTGGATGGTATAGGCCTCTGAATGCGAGATGCTGCGACTACTATTCACATCGTTCCATTTTTTCCGGCATAACGAACAAGATCGATCTGGGACAATACGATAGGTCAACCGAAAATCTCGGCTAAGTTACCGTCGCCATCATTAAATATAAACGTAGATCCGAATATTTTTCATTTTCTTTTTTTTTTCTTTTTTTTTTTTTTCCTCCCGCCTAAAATAATATATTTTTAAAATGTGCATAAAACGCGTGTGTTGTTGCATTGCTGTTGCTGTTGTTGCTGTGGTTAGTTGTATCTTCAATTTTTTATGAATTTTAAGTTAAAAACTAGAAAGTTGTTTTTTTTTGTGTGAAAAAACATACAGTATTCACTGTAGTATTTAAAATCAAAATGAACACGACATTGTAGTATTTCAAATTTGATTTTTCAAATTTTACAAGTCGACATATGATAGTTAATTAAAAATTTGGAGTTTTTAGGGTTAAGTTAAAAAAATGAAAATTGTGTTTTGTTCTGTGACAAAAATCATTCAAAGAAAAAACAATTAAGGAGAATTGTAACGCAATTTAACTTTGTTACAAACATTCAAATAAATAATAATATTATGTTTTGGTTTTGTTGTATAGAAATTATTATATTAGGTTTACCAGAAAAATTCTGTTCATTTTTAAAATAATATAAAATAAAATAAATTATTCACAATGTGAACAATTAATTAATTTAATTATATTTGAACTCTTGTTAAAATGGTGGAAATTTGTATATTTCATTTTAGACAATGGGGCCTTACTCCTAGTGATGAAAAATTGAATTAATATTTGTTTTGAACGAACAGAATTTTCCGATAGACCTAATATAAGAATTAATGAAAGAAACAAAAAATTAATATAATAATTATAATAGTTTATATATATATACTAGGGGTGTCCCACCACGCGTTGCTGTGGTTCACAATCAGTCCGATACACACGTCTTTAAGTCAACGAATTATCTTATAAAGTCATCTGTTAGAATCTTATCGAACTAACAGAGATAATCATGAATCTTTGTTAATAAACAAATAATATTGCGATTATAAATTGAGATATCTTTCTATCCTATCTTTTAAGTTGGATGATACTGCACACATTGTGCAAAATTTGATTAAAATCGGTTCAGTAGTTTACGAGTCCATTGCGGACAAACAACGTGACACGTAATTTATAAATATTAAAAAGATATTAAAGACAATTTCGTGAATCGTAATAAAAAGATACACAAATGAGAAAATAAAGATATATACATATATACAGTAAGGAGCATAACCTAACCAATAAACCCCCACTCTAGTTTTGTATAAATCATTATTTATTTCAAAGTATGTAAAAAGAATATTTAAAAAAATGAACATTATATAGTAAGTTTGATTACAGTTAAAAGTAAAATCAGAAATTTTGTCAATAATATTAATATCTCCTCGTTTAAAACACTGACAAACAAAATGGATTATTGACTTGATTTTTTATCGGTCTGTAAAAAGTAATATTTACGTGAAATGTTTCAGCAGTATTTTTTTTATACATCTAGCAGTTTGATTTTGTTTACAAAATATTAGTTTACGCGTCTCAGTCTAACGGAAAAATTACTCAAGTAAATTAAAGCAAACATTAAGGCAGGCAATCGCTTGAAATTGTTTAAAAAAAAAAAAAAAACATAAAAATAAAAAAAAACAGTTTAATTCTTTTTTCAATGATGGGCTTATCAACACGTCAGACAGCGAAAATTGTAGTTTTGACAGTCAATTGTAGTCAATTGACAGTGCAGAGAATAAGAATATAGTATATAGTATATATATATAAACTTAACTGTGTGTGTGTGTGTGTGGTGGGACCAGAGAAACATGTTACGGATAGATCTCTTTTTCTTTCTCTCATGTATTGCAGCTCTTTTGAGCGGTTTCAAGATCGCACGTGAAAGGCGAGTTGTGGTTATACCGATCGATCGTTTTAAATTTCTGCCAGTCTACGTCGACCCGGTCGATCGACAGCACACGTCACATCACACGACGAACGCATATCCACGTCTTCTTCGCATCAAACCGTTGTCCGCATCTATTTTCACCATACCAAATCAATTTCTCGATAAATCGTGTACGTATCCAGGTAGTACCTATATAGAACATAAAAAAAAAAAATAAAAAAATAATAGGAAGACATCCCGAACGTTGAAAGTAAGAAAAAGAAACGAAAAATAAAATAAAATAAAACACAATTTTTTTAATTAATAATAAATACCGCGTCGCGTGATTTTTTTTGTTTTTTTTTTTTTTGTTTATTCGAAGTGTTATCAAATAAAAACAATTTTATACGCGTTATTTTTTTTTTCTTGACGTGAGTGTTTTTTTTTAAACTGTGATTTCAAACGATAGAATTTCATGTTACGTTAGCGAAAGTACAATCTAAAATTTTCAAGGTTAAATAAGAAAGGTTGTGATCCACGGACGAGAGCCGCCATCTTTGTTCCTAAAACCACAAAGTTTTATCTTTTTAATATTCCACACGATTTCATATTTTGTCTCTCCTTGTTCTTTTCTTTTTTTCTTTTTTTTGTCTTCTTAATTTTTATTTTCTTTTTTATATATATATATATAAAGGGGAAAACATTTTCTTCTGTTTTTTTTTCATTGATATATTTTTATAACACGATTTATTATTATTATTATTATTATTATTATTATTATTATTATTATTATTATTATAAAAAAAAAAAATAGAGAAGATTGATCGAATAGTGGGCCCTGTTTTTATTTTTCTTTATTTTTTTTTTTCTTTCTTTCTTTCTTTTTTCAAGGTATCAATTTGTAATCAACGAATTCGAAGAATCGGATGTAAAAGTGTACAAGTGTGCAACGGTGTAAGTGTGTTTGTGTGTGTGTGTGTTTCTCTCTTTCTCTCTTTTTCTTTTTCTCTCTCTCTCTCTCTCTCTGTCTCTCTGTCTCTCTCTATCTTTCTATTTTTTTTCCTTTTTTTTTTTGATTTTCTTCATTTTTTCTTCTTTCGTTGTGCACGTGTGTGTTTTCGGGAGTTCTGACAACACTTTGCTACAGTAATTGGATGATAAGAAGAAAACTTGGACGGTGGTGGACAATAAGAGAAACAACAAAATGGATACTAAACCTCTACGAATCGTTTCCGGTCTTCTTTTTTGCATCTTTGTGGGCTCACACACTGGTAAGTTGTTTTTTGTAAATAATCATTTTTTTTTTTTATTATTATATTTAATTAAATAATTGTCCATAATTTATCTCAACATTTGTTACAATATAATTTATTCATTTAAATTTGAAGTATTTTCAATATTCTCTTCTTCTTTTGATTTACGTAGTTTATGGAGTATATATTTTATAATTTTATTTGTATAATATATATATATATATATATATATATAGAATTAGATTGAGTATAGACGTATATATGCGCCCACGCTCAATTATACCATCTCAAAAGATTACTGCTGCTTAAATATATATATTTATTTAATTTATATTAATTTATATTAATTTATATAATATATATATTTAAGAAGCAGTTTATATAATTTATATTTAATTCATATTTTATTATATATATATATTTATATTAATTATATTATTAATTTATATAATATTTTTATAATTAATATTATGTATATATATATATTATATTATTTTATTTTTATACTATATTATTTTTATTTATTTTTATTATATTATAATATTTATTGTATA